CTGGATCTTTCGACTAAATGGAAACTCATAGTACCTTTTATCCAAGCAAAAGGCAGATGCCAGATACATCCATAGGCCAAACAAAATTCCATTTCTTATTTCTATTTTTTTATGGCACCCATTTCATTCAGAAAATGGTTTCAACCATCACGCTGAAGATATAGCAAACATACAAGTTGCCTAAGAATTACTACTACCAGAGTCATCAGCTGCTCTGTGCAATAAATGTGAGTTCATTCATTGGCCTTCAGGAAAAGCAGAGCAAAAGCACTATTACTGGGAAATATGTGATATCTTCTGTGTCCTCACCTTAACCTTCTTGATGCTTGCTCTTTGATCTTTTCAACTTGATTCTTTGCAATTAGTGATTTATGAGTGCATGTGCAAGGGTATATGAATTCATAAATATAACTATAAAACATGTAAAATGTTTGCAACCAAACTTTGCACGCACACAGTCCAGATTAAATGAAAAATGTAACCTTTCAATGCACAACACATGACAGAATTCCTTCTAATTATAGACTTCTACCTTGCTGTGAAAACTATGAGCCTACTTAATGAAAAGAATATTCAATGCACTTACCTCCTCCAGGGAATACATCCCTCTCAAATATGCATAACTTGTACCCAAAGTTTTCTTCTAATATCATGGGCAATACCTTCAAAGCAAATTCTCTCTCTTCTTCAGTAGGAGAAACACAGTCTTTCAGGTAAGACACAAATGCATCATACTCTTTTCCATCTGAAAATAAATCAACAATTGTTGCCTTGTTATCAACCATCAGAAATCCAGTATCTGATTCACCATTCTGGTTTTCAAGCTTAGTATCTCCATGGTAAAGCATCTAGAAACCCCTGATCTTTCTTCTGAAGACTTTGAAGACTCTTCAAAAACTCTCCTTCAGATTAAAAAAAAAATCCTGAAGAAATTTAAGGTTGATACAAAAGATTCTGATTGCATTTGGAAAATGCTTGAAAATATTTCCTTTCTGCATTAAGGTGCTTTTTAAATAAAATCAGATTAATTTAACCAATTAATGTCACATCTGTGAAAATCAAGATATGAAGGGAAGCAAAAAAGATATCTGTAAACTGAAAAAATTGCTGTTCAAGTGATGTTGCAGATTTCAACATTTATTGTATATTGTGTCAAAGAGTATCAAGTGGAATGGGCACCAGTAAAAGAGAGAACAAACGATTTAATTACTTTTGTTATGAGAGTATGCCATGTCTGGTCTGGGTTGGGGCACTAATTTACAGACAGAAAATCAAAGACCAATCCAGAGGCCAGGTCCACCACACTGCCACAGAGCAACTACCAGGACTGATACACCAGCACACATGGCTTTGCTTCTGAAACTGCACTTCTTTGCTTCCCTTTCTGAATGCTTTACTGCAGGTAGTTCGTAAGAGAGAGCACAAAGTAAACACCGTGAAACCCCACACCTTCAAGAGCTCCAGGAATAGGAAATCCATTGCCTAGTATCCAACAGGCAGCTCCTCCAGAGCAGCACAGTCCAGGTTCTCACAGACCCTCTCTGAGTGAATGTAAGTCACTGTGGTAGCTGATATCAACCAGTAGATAATAACACTGGCAGGCATAAATTACATCCACCCATTATCCGAAAATCTCCAAGCATTGCAGTTTATTCAAGTTATATTCAAGCTGATTTAGAGACCAAGAAAGACCAAGAAAATCAGACCCATATATACAGCAAGTTTTGTCATCACAATTTTCAGAAAAATCATTCCTAAAATTGAGTAATTGTCAGGTTTGCTTGCTGTGAAGGCCACAGAGCTGCTGCCTGGTAAGATACTGGTAATGTGCACTCCTGCTCTCCTGAAGTGCGTCAGTGAGGTGAAAACAAATTTGGGTCAGTCTGTCCATCTGAAAACTCCAGAGTGCTCAGCCTCTTCATGGATAACTGAAAACCTTCATGGACAACTGAAAATTTCTCCACCCCTGTCAACTTTTGTGATGAAGAACAGAGCAGAACAGAGCTCATCTGAACAGCATCCAACCATGTCCCTTCCACTGCCTTCTCCAGAGGCAGCTTTTTCACTGTGTTTACCTGCTGCCAGTACCACACACATACAACAAACACACGTTAGCACCTGACCATCAAGTTCTCTTTTATATATTCTTTGTTTTTTCTCACACCTCTCCTGGATTTAAGAATTTTTTTTATCTTCCTCAAAGCTGATTACTTCATAGAACCTGCCAGAAAATATTTTTCATCAATATGCTTATTTCAATGTCAGCATTAGCAAAGTCATACCTCCAGCAGTATCATCTCTCCTGCAAATATTTCTGTAAAATAGAACGAAGTCAACCCTAAACATCACTAACACAAACACCACAGCTATGGCAACAAATGGAAATAGCAGAGCCAGGACCATTCCTGTGGTAAATACATGCACTGGTAAGTCTTGGATCTTCCCTGTAAGAGAGAAAAAAAGCAAATTACAGCCTTAACAAAGAGTATTATTTAACAAGATTACAGTATCAAATACTGATGGCACCTAAATATCACCTCAAAAAAACACCATGTTGATCCTTTCCTGCTAATATTTCAGGCGCATATGCATGCCACACTAAGATAGAGAGAAACTAGAAAACATGTTTTACTGCAAAAACAGGAGAAACAATCTGGGACACAATCACCTACAGTTCCTTTGTGTGTGTGCAGGGTATGTGAGATCAAGACTGACATTACAGATCCTCACACATGTGAGGATCCCAAAATGATGGTCACTCACTTCTGCGAAGAGTTTCCTTCAGGTATTTTATAATTTCTTCTCATTATCTACCTTTCACCCCTCTCTCAGTCCCATCCATAAGCCCTTAATGTCCCATTTAATCTCTTTGGCCAAGATTCTTTTGCTTTTTTTTCTCTAGTCTCTTTCATGCCTTTCTTCATTATCATCATCATCATCATCATTAATCTTTGAGAGTTTTAGTTCCAAAAACAGATTTTTAACACTTAAATCTTTGTGAAGTTTTTATGAAGACATTCTCAAGACATGCTCATTGTAGTCTGTATTTCTTTTGCTTTGCACTCCTCCTGTCCCTGTCTGAGAGCAGGAGGAGTCACCCAGGGGTTGTTAGGTCCAGCATTAGGTGTGTGAGGGCCTTCATAAGCAGACAGTATTTGGAGCAGTGTTTTGAAATGCCCTCAGGATTGAGAAGACTGATTAATAAATTATTTCTAGTTTATGCCATACCTTTCTTCAGTTTTACTATTTTCATCTGTGTGGTTTCATCAGCTTGCAACCTGCAGGTGAAATTATGATGCATGTCCTCATCTCTTACTTTTTTAATCCGTAGTAGCCTTGTGATATAGAATTTGTTTCCCAACCTGCAACAAGGAATGGCGTTAGCAACACTATCTGTGCAAAAACCTAAAATCACCTGAGAGGCAGACTTTGAGGAAAAGTTTCTAGAGAAAACCCTCAGGATGTGTTTTTTACTGAATTTGCAGTTCCACAAAGTGAAGGACATTATCACATACTAAATGCAGTATTTTCAGGAAACCTACTGTAGTGTTTTGAGTTCTTCTTCACATATTGGAGGTTCATTCTCAGGGATACCTGTGCATTGTTCTGGAAACGTTTGGTTAATTAACCAGTAGAGGCTGGCATCTTCTTGCATATAATCACCCAAGGAACCTGTACAATTGAATATCTCTTCTTTACCTACAGAAAAAAGCATAACATGGGAAGATTTAGTGAGAAGTAGTATCCATTTACACAGTGCAGTAAAGTGTCAGCTTTCCAGGAAACATATCTTATAAGCTGTGCTCCCTTCTAAATTTTGTAGCCCCTGCTCAATGTTTTATAGGTGTTACACCTGCACTGGTGATGGCCTCATGCACTGCAGCAGAGTGACAATCATCCATTGCTTTCTTTGAGATAAATCATCAAAGCCAGGTGGGTTTAAATAGACCTGAGAATTTCAGGCTTTCGAGACCTAAAGGGAATTGGACGTGATGATCTTTATGAGTCCCTTCTACTTGAGATATTCCATGATTCTATAAACCAGACTGTCTTCTGCAGTCTGAGAGCAGAAAAGGAAAACCTATCACCAGTGTTCCAGGGCCAGGTAAAAGTAAGTAACTGGTAAGGGGAATTACAGCCAACTAATTGTAATAGGGAAACTAAAAATGACTACTGAACAAAACCAAAGCACCTGCTGAACATGCACAGAACAAATTCTTATCTCAGTATCACCTCTGGAAATGCCTGAATACTCGAACAAGTAATTTAATTAGTCAGCTACTTGTCCCACTTCAAAGCACTAAGTGTAACTGACAGGAACCACCCCATAAAGCTCCAATAGTTTTAAGAAATTGCAGAACTAAGAGGACAACTGTAGACTTGGAAAAAATAAGGGCAGAGGACTGCAGCTCTGGAGTGTGAGATTTTTTAAACCCTGTCAAGGGAAGCTTGACGTGAAGCTAGCTGCAACCACAGTTTCTAGGCTATTGCAGCATCGTTTCTAGGGAGCACATCCAGAATGCTCTTTATTAAGCCAGGAAAAATGCATGTTATTCCTTCTTCAGACCATCATGCACAAACACTTTCCAGTAAGCAATTACCCAGCAATTCTCTAAGAGCACACAAAGCTTCTCAAGACTTATCAGATACTTCTAGAACCTTCAAAGCATGATCCAGCTGAAAAACTGGCCATCATAGATTCAGACCTTAGAAATCCAAATTACAGTTGCACAGACCTGACCTAGTATCATTGGCCTTGCAACTCGAGCATTTCCACCATACACAACAGCTGTTTGGAGGCAAATATCATAGAACAAAGCAATGATAGATTTTAAAGATCATGGACCTGGCTCATCTTAAATTCCCTTCACTCTCCACCATGCCATCTGTCTCATCACTCAGCAGGAAGTTCAATGACCTTATCAAATGATCTTATCAAGGCAGATAAGGGATGGAAGACAGATAGTTCATAAGCATTTGATACCAAACCCTGCTGACTTCTAAGGGCTGGGACAAGCACAATAACGAGGAGGAAATGTGCAGGAAGGGCCTTCTGGGAGGTTGGAAGGCATGGGAAATGGACTTGCCAAGCAGTACTGATAGGAAGGAAGGAAAATTAGCATCTGAGGTCCTAGATGAGTAAATGAGATACAGGCATGAGCCACAGAGGGAGTAAAACTTGGAAAGGAAGGATGAGGAGAGGAGAGGAGAGGAGAGGAGAGGAGAGGAGAGGAGAAGAGAGGAGAGGAGAGGAGAGGAGAGGAGAGGAGAGGAGACTGGTAAATTTCTGTTTTAAAAAATTAATTACAGCCTCAATCACAAAATACTGGATCCTGTCCAAGACTGTGTGAAGCCTGCAGATGATTTTATCTAACCTACTTCCAGCTAGGTAAGGTCTCTTGACAATACAGAGGTACATGCACACATTGCCAGGACTGTCACACCTCACACTCCTCATTTCCCTGAAGAATAACATTCTCAACCACATCAGGTATCAGCAGGGCTACTCATTATGGCTGTTCACTGAGTAAACCATACATCTTTTACACATTCCTTCATGGGGTTTGCTATCTACAAAAGAAAGCCATGATGAGATGTTTTATCACCACCTTCTCTTGCAGGTTGTAGCAGCAGCCTCAGCTTCTGCCTCTGTGAAAGGTACATTCAGTGAACTTATGTATCAATCATGGAATACACTAGGCAAAGCATTACCAGATGTGAGGTTAGATCACATACTGGATGATGCACAGTTAGTTTGATTGCACTTATCTAGTCCATCAACCATAAAGAAATCAGAATAAAAGCATGTAGGTGGAGTAGCTACCTCAAAGATTTTTGTATTAATTTCATACCTATTTCTGTTTCAATTTCTTCATCACGTCCAACTATCTCCAAAGAGAAAGACTCTGGTGCATCTAAAACAGAAGTATTGTTATTGAAGTAATACCTCACTTATGTTCTTCCACAGTAAAAGTTACATAATTGCTCTATATGTAAAATTAATCACAAACATTTCATTCAATTCACAGAACAATATCTGGGTTATCTGGGTTCTGGTGTTACTGAGTAGCTTAAAACCCAGTATGTCTTGTTGATTTTTTCACACACACACACACACACATATATATATATATATATATATATATATATATATATATATATATATACAGAGTACAATTTGTAATAGTTGGAAAGGCTCTTGGGCAAAATTCTTAGCAAGTTGTATGACTTACTTAGAGCACCTATTTTGGAAAAAAAAAACTGCAGGGAAACCATACTAAAGACATTTTCCAAAACTGGTAATATCTCAACGTCCACTTTTTTACTTCTCAAATTATTCTGAAGTAGTTCAGATTACCAGACTTTATCCCCTGGTATATATTTATCAAACAAGAACTGCAATTTAAAATCTCCTTAGTAAAGTGAACCAAAAAGCATGCTTCAAAATTTTAGAAAGCTTTCTTACCTTCTTCTACTACAAGTTTAATTGTATTTGTGCTGTGGTATATCATTCCTTCATGACTGATTAGAATTTTACAGGTATATATCCCAGAGTCCTGTACTGTTAAGGCTCTAAAATGTAGTTCCCTCTCTGTTTCATGTTCGTAATTCTTACAGTCCTGCATCAATAAAACCAGAAAATACTATTCTGCAGCAAACATGCATTCAAAATATTAAAGAAATCAATTTTTTTTTTTTTTGGAAACAGTGTCACCATCACCTTTTCACTATCTCAATGACATGTGTCTGACCCAAAAGAGGTGCAGGCCCAATTTTCATTCAAGGTCACTTAAATGCAACATTTGAACATTTAACCCAATAGAAGTTGAGAACACTGCAATTGAGGAAAGCATAACAACCTGTGGCCCTGTCCATCAATGGTCCCATCCTCCCAGGCCCACAAAGACAAAAGAACAGGGCTGTGGCTCATTCTTGCCAGGCTGCTCCAGATGCCTGTACTAAATCAGTCAAAATCCCTTCCTGAAGCTGACTGGTCTTGGGGTGAACAGGGTCTGTTACTCCAACCAGGAGACCTGAGAGGAGTAAGGAGCACACCCCAAAGAGGTGAATTGCCAAAAATGAACAGAAGTGGATCTGTTACACACTGTTCAGAAACAGCAAAATTGAAAAGTTTGCAACTACTTTACAAGTACATGCCAACTGTAAAATAAAAATCTTGGCATCCCATTTAGCATCAGTACAATATCTGTATCAGCAAAGTAGCAGCTGGCAAAACCAGCTGCTGCCAAAATCAGCAAACAGACAGGCACATCAGATCTTTTATCATTCCAAACTACTAGCTTAATAACTTCTGAAACAGGTATTTTTTTTACACAAATTGGAAAGCAGACAAAAGCTTTGTTTGTGTATCTGTCTAAAGATTTTCCCCCTAATCCCATGAGAAATTAAGGCTTTACAATGTTTGTAGGTGTTTCTAAAAATTTGTTTGCAATTAATATTTCCTGCAATCAGATGTTTTGTTTCTACAGCTAATGATTTGAGTGACACTGTTTCAATAATTACCTTATACCATGTTATGCTGTCATTTTCATAGACAGACAAATCGCTGCATTTCAGTGAATGACCAGTTCCAGCACTTTTAATTTCTGTAGTTAAATGATTTTCATTGAAACAGCTACTTTTATTTCTTTCAAGTACATTCAGTGTCCACTTTTGAATTGTGACATTTTTTTTTCCATTGCTAAGAAAAAAAAAATTAGCAAAATCAGTTTCAGGAGCTTTCTAAAATAATGCAGCTTGGTGAGCTACAAAACACAAATAAATTCTCAAATACATCTGTTAGGTAAAAAGTACCTCTACAGTGAGCAAATTACTTTTATTTCCCTTTATCACTTTCCCACTCCCAAATTAGTGTAATTTCCTTTAACCAAACAGGTTACCTAAACTAAATGCACTATCACAAAGCATTTGACAATACAGTTATATCTATGGAACATGACAATATATGCTACATAGACCTGAAAAAGGATGCAACAATCTGTGACATCATCCATAGTTACGTGACAGCATCAAAGACTTTTGGACCTTGAATCAGCTGAAGATTTTGCAGGTTTAATTTCCTATGTGTTGCTAAGATTAAAAGCCATGACAGAAAAACATATTTGTAAAATTAGAAATAAAATGGTTCATATTTAGGTATCTACTAGCTTCTATCAATATATTCCTTGAAAGAATCAGATTATAGCTGTACTTTCACTGTTTGATATATCCAAATACATGACTACCAAGGGAAAGAAACCTGAAGAACTTTTATTTGGCAAAGGTAGAGCTTAAGAGAAAGCCATATGCTGCTGTCAGTTAGTGGGTGAGATTCTGTCAGTTAATGGGTGAGATTTTGCAATTAGTGCATAGAGCTCTCATTTGTTTTCTGAACAAGCAGGGCCTGACAAAGGAAAAGCAGCAATCACAGAGAACTTCCCTCCAGTGTCAGTCATGTCTTTGTAAATATGTTTGAATCTTCCTGCCTCCAAGAAAAGAAAAGTACATTTCTTCCAGAACTGCAACTAATCAAGAATTGTTTCAATGAGAAAGTCCAAGAGGACAAAGGAGTTGGAATGGAAAAGCATCCCTGATGAGTACAGCAGCTTAAACACCATTCTTGACATGTCTTTTGAGTGTACAAGATTCAGAAGAACTATTAGGACATCATTTTTATGATGAATTTAAACCAAGTCTTGGGTTGTTTCTTTTCTGCTTTTTAAGCTCCCGAAACAAATGTATTTATGTATCCTGCTCACCTTCTTTGCATTGTAGCCCTTTTTCAACCTACGCTGGTTCTCTACTCACTTGAGATGTTCATTACTCCTTAATTGACTCTTTAAACCAAAACATAGTGGTTTTGGTAAATGAGTTAACTATGCTGTCACAAACAGGAAAAGCCTTACCAAAGCTTTTCCATCAGAGACGAGCTCATGTGGGTATTCACGGTGGGTGGAGCTCTTCTCACCTATTCTTATTTACAAAACATCTTATTTACACATTTAAATCAGAGCTACTAATCACAGTCAGCAGTGGGACCACATCAGAAGTCACCCTGTTACAGTGCAGTTTGTTAGACCTATTATTCATATTTTGTTTAGGACAAGATCACCTGTGACCCAGAAAGGCCTTTCCCTCCCTGACAGTAAAGGTACCTAAGATATGTTCAGGTGTGGACATAAACATTAATTCCAATTAATTCCACTGAGTCTGTGTGTTTCTTTAGGCATCACTCTACTAATCTGAATACTGTCAAAGAATTAATTACAGATCTAGCCATGAAAAGCAAATTATTTTACTCTCTAGATTCAGCAGATAAAAGAAAAGGGTCCATAAAGCCACATGTTCTCCCCATCACTGTTACTCCACAGAGGATTTATTCTGTGACCCTACCTGGGGAAACCTCTCAAAATGGATCAAGATATTCTGCCTGATGAGCCAACCTCTGGCAAGGAAAATGCCCCTGGAAGGTATTAAAACCATACCAGTGCAAACAAAGATGAATTTTTTCATACATAGTTTCTAGTTTTCTGCCATATACCATGGTTTTCAACACACACACACAAAACCACATTTAGTTGTAACCATTTAGTTGGATTTTTTAAACTGCTAGTGTCTGAATTGCTATATATTTTTATCATTGTTTTGACTTGCTGAGAGTCCCCAGTGATATTCTGTCGGAACAAAACCGTTTCTGGTTTAACAGCTTTTCAACTCCCCCCCTCAACAAACCCCGCAAGAAGGAACAACAAAATCTTGCTTGACTCAGAAGATGATACAGGGAAGTGAAAGCCCTTAGAGAATATAAACCAAGCTTACTGGATACATAGCCAATTCTAAGTAATCCCTTGGCTATTTTACTGCAGCAAGCCAGTGTTATCTTGATATTGCAATTTTCTGCAGAAGCTGTCACTCTGCTTTCCAAACTACAGTATTAACTTTATATGTATGCTCCCATGGCTTTCAGTTGTTCTAAACATATTGAAAAATTGAGCAATATTTGGATTTTAAAATTTATCATGTGTTTATCATGGTTCTCTGCAGTTTTTTGGTTTTTTCTGGAGCCTCTAAGTTCTCTCAGTTTCAAGGTTACCAAAATAGAGCAACCTGATGACCTGCTTTTTTGTATTCTGTTTTTCTCTTTGACAACCACAGGATACAGGCTATAAAAAAAAACCCATAGAAAATTACAAATTTTTCCAAAGACCTGTGGCACAGTTTTTGCTGCTTACCACACTTACTCTAAGTTCAGTTTTTATTTTCAAGAATGTTGCTGAAGATGGACACAGTCAGGCCTATAGGTGATGTCCACTGATTCCTGAATTTTTATCCTAAGTCTAGTGTACTAACAAACACACATGAGCATGTCAACACACATACATGCACACTTCAGCTGTCTATGTATGTCTCAGCAGGACACATCTGGTTTAACTGTAAAACTTCTGATTTCTCTTTAAGAAAAAAAAAAAAAAAAGTGGTTACAACATAATAAACCATTGTTACATTACTTTCACCTCTTCCTTCTTACATACTGTCAGTTGTAACACATCAGAAAAAAAATTCTACATTTAATTAGTTTGCAAAAGCTGTCAACATGTTGTCTTCTTTTCTTGAAAATCTGCAGTATATGTAATTGTCACATTGTTCCCTGAAACTGCCTAAAGTTATAAGTATTATGAAAATTATTTCCCATGTAGCTTACAAACATCTAACTCTAAATTAAATAGTTAAAAATTAAAAATATAAATACAAATATACTTAGCATATCTTCTTTCAAAAGTAGAACTTCTAACCTACTATAAATACTCTGAAATTAAAGTAATTCCACTCAGTCATTCTTATTAAATCTTAAACAAGTTCAGTAGCCCACAAGAGCCCACAATTTTTCCCTACAGAAACTTCTAAAAGTCCACTGTCTCTGCAGTAAACAGTTTTTGCAATGACCTTCTGTATTTACTGAAATATAACTCATTTGATATGCCTGCCAATAGTGAGAACCATCATATAAACTAAGCCCAAGATCCCATTAAAATCCCATGAAAAAATCCCCTAATGCCTCTTGTTCCAGCAGTGAGACCTGTGAAGAGTTCCCACAGGAGGATTGCCAGATTCTGGCATCATTCTGATCCTAACAGAAAATGAGTGTTCATATGGGCCTAACAGAAAGCAATTTAAAAATTAAAAACAAAAAGAAAAAAGAAAAGAAAATATGTTTCAGAGTAAGAAATTTTCCCACAAAAATACTTTCTTTCAAAACTGATTTTTAAAATGTAGCATGTAACAGTTCCAGAAGACAAGACAAAAAAGAGAAAATCAAAACTCTCAATTCCAAATGAATACTTTGATGTAATCAAAACTTTTTTCTGACTTTCTCTCTAAAGCAAATGAGTAAATCAAGAAATTTCATACAAGATTCTGACATTTTTGTGTTTTCCAACAATTACTCATTTTTAAAAACTGTACTGCAATAGTTTTACTTCCGTTCTTTTCTTGTCATCTCCTTCTTCTCTGCGTGAGGCTGTTTCCTTTGGTTTTGACGTTTACATTTTTTCATAGAAATTTTGTAGAATTCTTGTGACTTACTGTGGGTTTACTGTCATTACCCCACGTCCTTAAAGTAATCAAAAACCATAATGATCATGAATTAAAGCTGAGGTTATCACAGCTCTCTTCTCTTTTGCCCTTTAATGAGTGTTTAGGACTCATGGCAGTCTCCTTCAGTAGCCTGGCAATTCAGGTATGACCTCCACCTACCTTTCCCCATGCCAAAATTAGTCAGTCTGCATTTTGTGACACTAATTAGGTGGCATTGGAGTGAGTTTTTAGAATTAATAGCTTTTTTGTGAAGTGCCCATACAGAAAACTGATCAACTCAACAAAAGAGCACAACAAACTAGACAGACTACCATATTCATCATCCCTAAACAAAATCCTCTTGAATTTAACAGAGATGAATGGAATTTTTCTCAATATTTAACCTACAATTAAAAATATTTTGCATTTCATATACTGTGAGTCAGTACTTTTTAAAATAATATCAGTAAGGAGATAACAGTAATGATACATGGAAGAATTTTTAAAAAAAAGTTTTCAGCTTCCAAATTGACTTGGAAGTTAACAATTGAAGTCTATTTTAGAACTGTAAACTATCAAACTTGAGATATTTCTGGAATAAAGTGGAGAGCATTTTTCAGTATCCACAGTCCCATCCCCTTTATAAACCTGCCTAGAACCTTAAAAGTATTACTTGGTGAACAGCACAAATCATTACATGCAAGATGATCTTCTTCAAATTAACCATTGCTTCGACTGTAAGTGCTGAATTATGGGTTAGTCATAAGAACTCAGCACTGCAAACCTTTGATTTAATCCCTTTAAAGGTGTTCCAATGAAAATTGCCACCAAATAATGGAGGCCCATTCTCATTTCTCCTTTTAACCCATGGTGTTCTATAGCAGTAAGAAATCAAATCCAATTATTTCATTTGTTCTTTGAATGGCTCCATGCAGGCAAAGGTTCGCACAGAAAGCAGAATTCAGCTATGCTATGTTTAATCTTTACTGTACAGTTAGATGATTTGGCAAGCCTCATAGCATGAGATCCACTCAACACAGCAAGAAAGAACAAATCTGGGGAAGAAGACAAGCAAACGTTTCCTTTTTCTTGACAATGGGCAGAAGGGTTGCCTGACATTCATTTTTCTTAGGTAATTAATCACAAGCCAGCAAAAATGTTACCTGCCTTATCAAAAGGTTTACAGAACATTTAAAAGGCTGAAACTCCTTATAGATATTTGTAAATATTGCAGGTCTACTTTGATAGTTATTGTGAAATGAAGTGGGACATGACACTGCAGTTAGAGCAGTTCCCCAAGCCCCTTTTATATGGATGCCACTAGCTATAGAAAACAAGACAAAGAAATTATCTTCATCATAGACATGCACAGGCAAGACATTCACCCAGTGTGTTGTGTACCCACCTGTGAATGACAGAGTAATTCCCAGAGTCACTGAGTTCAGCTGGCCAAAACTCCAGAAAATTCATTTGCGTAACAATTCTGCGTGTTTCCTTTATCACTTGCTGCTTGCCAGCACTTTCTTTGTACCAGTTTATTGTATATGATTCTTCCTGACAATGTTCTTGCCTTGACTCAAGATAACAAAGGAAAAAATATTCCCCTTCTAGAATATCAATGGAGGCACGAAGGGGACACAGCTTCTCTTCAGAGAAGGGGAGAAAGGGGAAAAAATACATTAGGAAGTCATTATTTTATTATTTCAGAAAATTACATTAGCCTGACTTTAAATTGATTTGCTTGCTGATGGCTTTTTATAAAAAGACTTCTTTCAGCAAAATGGTTTGGCAGCATTTATTTATTTATTCCTGCAATATTAGCTAAAAAACTCAGCCTTTTCCAAGCCTTTATTCTATCTTACCAAAGCAACACCAGGAGAAAAGGACTGAAAATAGAAGGGCATTTCCCTATCTCTATGATTCTTTCACATGAGTTCCACAGTGTCAGAGTTACATTGGCTCAAAAGGCAGAATCTGGCCCCACTGTACATTAAAGCAGCTGCCACAAATGGAAGAGGAGAAGAGAAATTCTTCACATATGGTTTGACTTGACAAACATGTTTGAGATAAAAGCACAGATCCTATAAATTAACATTTGCATTTCCTTATCTTCTTAATTAAAACTGAATAATTATGTAGATATATTTCTGAAAAACTTCAGATATCTTTGGAAAACTGCCTTGGAATGAGATTATGTGTGTAAAATTTAGTTTTCAAGTCTGCCTTTCCAAACAAATTTGCCAAATTTACTTTTGCATACAGAAGTTATTAAAAGTACGGAAAAGGAACCATGATCAAGGATTAAGAGTCAAAAATAAAATCAGACTTCAGGCTCTCTTTCTCCTGAGGTTCTCAGAGATTATTGTTGTTTAGCAACTATTGTGACCACACTTCTGAATGGCACAAAAAGAAGCAGATTCTTTCTCTTGTTTGCCATATCTCTTCATACAGTTATGGCCACATGCATCATCAGGTTTCTCCAGGTAGCATCCTTGCTTTTTCATTTCATAATTTTGGTGTTTAGGACCAAATTTCCCAAGTCTGGAGCTGGGCTGTAATTGCCAAACCTTGGCAATTACAAGGTTTAGCTGCAAAAAACAAAACTTGTCCTACTCCAAGCAACTGTCAAGAAGCTGGCACATATTTTGAATGTTCTATTATTGAATTGAAGACTTTTACTTACCAGGGGCAGATTCCATGATCAACGTTACTAAAAAAATCATCAGAATCATTTTCTTGAGTTGCTTCTCACTTCTTCTCCACAAAAAAAAGAAACTGAATTGCTCTTGCTTGTTCTGAAAGCCTATTAAAAAAAAAAAAAAACCAAGATTCACAGTTCACCAGAAGTCCAGTGAAACAGATTCCTTTGAGCATGTGAGCAGTGTAACTATTGCCTGCTGCTGAAGAGGGCTTTCCAAATGGGAAGCTACATATTTTTATCATAACAGATATTTTCATACATCAGGTAATATATCTAGATTTTTCTTTGCAATTTCATTTCAAATTCAGAAAGCACTGCAGGATTTCCTTGTACCCTTTTCTTATTTCATGGATGCATTTTGCAGTATTATAAGAGCACTCAAATCCTGAGCCAGCAGATACCTACCACAGGACAGGACAGGACAGTACTTTTTTCTCCACAAAGAGAATAAACTTGCAAGACTGGACCTTGTAGAAACAGCCACTGGAAACTTCCCTTGCCTTCAATGAGAACAGCACAATGGTGTAGATTGGATATGTTGATGGCTAACTTTGAGCCTGTTGCAAAGCAATGGGACATGAAATTTCTTTCACAATTTGGTCTGTGGGGGCAATAAGCTCCTACTGAGAGTGCTAACATTTCCACTGAGGGGGAGGACAAGAAGCAGCCTATATTCACTTGCTTCATGTGCAGTCAACTGATGTCAAAGGCAAGTGAAAACCACCACTAAAACTGGCTTGGGGCATATTCTGAGGTTCCTCAGAACAGCAGGTACCAAAGACAGAGCTGCTCCTGAGACTCAGCCTCTGTTTTGCTTACAAAACAGACAGGTGAGATACACAATCAGCTTAGTTCAACCCCTGAATCCAAAACAGATAACCTTGCTTAGTGTGACCCAAACATGGATGGATAGATGAGACAAAAGCACATGAGATGCATTTCAGAAATCCGGGAGATCTGCTAAAAACTCTCATGAGCATTCCATTTCTTTTTTATCAGGTAAACTGTTGCAATTTGAGAAAACACAAACTTTAAGAGACTGCCCTAAGATTTAGAGTCAGAAAGTTCCTGTGACCTGAAGAGCCTGGAGGCAGGAGGCTACAGCATTTCCAGCAGTATGCAGGACACCAAACTGGGTAGCTGCTCTCCCTCTCCTGTGCTTCTTCTCTGTTCTTTAGAAGTGTGCCATCATCCCTTAAAGCACTGCAAGGAGATGAAGGAAGTGTTTCACATCCCTTTTTTAGACAGCCTGGTAGGCAGATCCAGATTTAGAAAGCTAAAAGAATCTGGATGGGGAATACTGCAACGCACAATTTCAGTTCCTTATTACACATGGAGATTCAAGCTCCTACACTTCATAAGGAAGGAAGGGCGTCTCTCTTTAAATTCTTGAATTTTGTTTTCCTTTTCTATCCTATCACATTCAGAAGAAATATAGCTGTTAGTGACTACAAGACTATGATCCACTACATAAAGATAGAATCATTTAACACCAGATCTTTAATTCTAAATCCACTTATTTTTTGGTATATCACATCAGCACACAGTAGGCTGGTTGAATGCATGCAACTTAATGGAAGTGACTTAGTAATGACCAGGTTTGAGATTCATGACTATGAAAAATCAAGACACAAGACCTCAGTCTTACTCTCTCATTGCTGTTGAACCTGATCAATTTGTCTGAAATTGTTCTACTGTAGGCTAAAAGATTTGAGCTATACAGTTTGAGTACTCTTCACTGAAAAGTTAGGAGGGGGCCAAAAAGGTAAAAAAAAGAAAAGAGCTTTTAGTGAAAGTCAGCTAATCCAGAGAGAATCTTTGAGAAACAGAATAAGATTTTTGATTTTCAGAAAAAAATTGAGACATTTTAAAGTAAAAGCAAAGATTCTCTACCTAATAAAGGAGTACAGAAATACTAATGGGCAAAATTCTAAGGTAATAGATGGAAATGACAGTTTCAATGAAAATTGATTAAATTACAAGTTGTCTATAAGGCTCAAAGTGACAACAGCTTTAAGCATTTTTTTATGTTTTATACATGTTTAAAATGAATGATGGAGTTTTAATAATAAAATATGGTTCTTAAAAATACTTGTGCCACTGTGACACCAAAAAAAAGTTTCAAACAAACCAAATGTTTAAATTCTGTAAATTGGATTACCAATGTCTCATTAATTAGAAAATCATGCACCATTAAAATTATTCCCCACTTTTCAAGAATCACCAGAAGATTTTTGAATGAAATTGGGCCAATACATAGAAGTGATTGATCCTCAATTTTGGACAAGTAACTAATTTTGATCAACACTTTTGGAAAACTCAATTTGGTCCTGAAGGGTTGTCACTTCCTTTTAAAAAAAAACCACAACAGGTTCTTCTGAACATGGGACTGTTCCAAACATCATCTTGGGATCAAGGAAGGAAAGCATTAGTCTTTCCTCTTTAAGAACAGCTTCTTATAGAATTTAAACAGATTTTATATTAGTATTATAATGATTTTATGTAAGTATTACCACACAGTGCCATAATTTACGCAGCATTGATGAAGAAAACAAAAATATTTAGCAAACAGTTGTCTTAACCATACTAGATTCAAGCAGCATTCTGCCAGGATTGCAATTTCTTGGTAAAAATGAAAATCTGTCTTAATTTCAAAGAACATAAGCAAAGCTGTTTACTTACTATGCAAGTCTTGACAGGTGGAAAGTGGATAGACAGGGAGTCTTCCAAACTCCAGAGAGTTGCAATTTGAACTTACAACTCTTCTGAATCTCATTCATCACTGAAACAGAGTTGTTTCTCTCAGCAAGTGATTCAATGCATAGATATTTCAGTTTGAAAAACCTTCTGAAAAGGAAAAAGAGAACTGTTGATTGCAGGAAGGAAAATGGAAAAGGGAGAAATTCATTTCTGCTAGCATTAATGAGTAGTTAATAGCAAGTCGTTAATATTAATATTTTTTTAATAAGGCATTTGAGAGGTGATACACAAATGTTTTAGGCATAATCTTTTGCTCCTACCACCTACAACAGTGCTGAGGGAGCCCATCCTCTTCCAAAGCCACCCAGGTGTGGGAAAAAGGGCTGCAGACGGTGCAGAGACAGCGACAGGGGCTGTGTGCTGAAATAAGCCTTTTTCAGGAGCTAAACTGTTTATGACAGCTGGGTAATAAGAAAAAATACAGTGTATGCCCCAGACAGAGGTGTCCAAGAGAGGTGACTCTGGGGAGCGCCGGACAGCGCCATGGACAGGAAAGCACAGCTGGCTGGGAGAGGGAGAGGGATGGAGATGGACAGGGATAGGGACAGGCAGGGCTGGGGATGGGCAGGGATGGGACGGGCAGGGATGGGACAGGCAGAGTTGGGGACGGGCAGGGCTGGGGACGGGCAGGGATGGGACGGGCAGGGATGGGACGGGCAGAGCTGGGGACGGGCAGGGCTGGGGACGGGCAGGGATGGGACGGGCAGGGATGGGACAGGCAGAGCTGGGGACGGGCAGGGATGGGACGGGCAGGGATGGGACAGGCAGAGCCGGGGACGGGCAGGGATGGGGACAGGCAGAGCTGGGGACAGGCAGGGATGGGGACGGGCAGGGATGGGGACGGGCAGGGATGGGACGGGCAGGGATGGGACGGGCAGAGCTGGGGACGGGAAGGGCTGGGGACGGGCAGGGCTGGGGACGGGCAGGGATGGGACGGGCAGGGATGGGACAGGCAGAGCCGGGGACGGGCAGGGCTGGGGACGGGCAGGGATGGGACGGGCAGGGATGGGACAGGCAGAGCCGGGGACGGGCAGGGATGGGGACAGGCAGAGCTGGGGACGGGCAGGGATGGGGACGGGCAGGGATGGGGACAGGCAGGGATGGGACAGGCAGAGCCGGGGACGGGCAGGGTGCCCCGGAGCGGTCTCCGGTCGGCGAGAGCGGCTCCCCGCACACCCGCCGGGATGGATGCCGTGAGCGGGGCGGGCGCTCGGCTCCTCCGAGCGAGGGGTAGTGAGGTGTCCGCGCCCAGCCTTGGCCTCCCCGTCCCGCTGCCCTACCTGGCTGCGGCGTGGCCGGGCGGAGCGGTGCCAGCCGGGCCCCGCGCACCCCGAGCGCGCCCCGCCGGCACAGCGAGCGATGCTCGGCTTTTTTAGCGGGCGGAGAGGGGTGGGTGTGTGCGCCTCTGCCCTCTCACAACCTTTCAGGGGAAGAAAAGGCGTAAGGAGGTGATGCCTTCCGCTGTCTTGGGCCGAAACGCCTCTTCCTCCGCTTTTCCGCGGAACGCACATTGTAGGAGCGTGCTGGAGGCAGGACGGAGTGCTAGGAACGAATGTATTGGGCTGAGTATACCAAGTTTTGCCTCTGCTACAGCTTCCTCCCCATCCCGCTGCCTGGTTTGAGAATGAGGATGTGCAAAGAGCTAACACTGAAAGGCTGATATCCTGCAAAGACATCAAAAGACACACACACACACACACACAAAAAAAAAAAAGTTCTTGTGTAGTTCTTAAGTTCTTCAGTTCTCATAAGTTTTTATGACAATATCCTCTTTAAAGGGAGAATAATGGAAACTTTCAGGACATTAAACATTTTGTAGCTCCATTGCTGCACTGTGAGTGTATGTATTAACGTCTAAATAAGCCATCATGCCATTAGTTGAGTTTGCTGTTAGCCAAATGTTGGTATATTGGAACTGTGGTTCAATCAGGGGTTTCTGAGAGACATATTTCTTGTTTGAGTCCTGTTCCTAAGTAAATGCATGCTTGCTGTTGTTAATTCCATGAATGCTTTATCTGCTAAGCACTGTGCAATGATTCACTGTACTTCTAAATAAAGTTAGTTCGATAACATCAGGAAAAAAATCATTCCCTCAGGAATCCTTTTATTTGCATATCACCCTTTTCATCTTCAGAAATTTGTTTGGTGACAGCTACATTTTGGGGTTTTTACCCAGGACAGCTGCTGGTGCAAAAGTTCCCAATTTCAACGGGAGGGGCCAGTTTGGAGGTAAAACCAGCAGGCTACACTTAAAAGGAGGGAGGGATTACACAGGGCTGGCTTTCGTGCATATTTTTCATTGCAGAAGAGAAGAAACCCTGGAGTATATTACTGTCTAATCTTGTTTGTTTTCCTCATCACAGAATGAAGCATATGTCTATAACAATTAGACCTTTGCATAATGGAAATCAGTACAACTCCAGGAGAGTGAGCTAAGGATCTAACTAAATATAACTGCTTTAAAAATGTGTAGAAGATACTTTGCAGTGCTTTTGGTTTTATGACTTAGTACCTGATTTCAAAACCTAAAAGAAAGCAGATATCATAAAGATGATAATGATTTTAAATGACAGTCTGGAAACTATTTAGCAGCCAGCAAAAAAATGGTAAAGTAAAATGTCATCAGCTTCTTACTTTCACAGACTGTCTTCATAGTTACAGTTTGGAAACTTCTTTTTCTGACTCAGTCTTTTACAGCAATATTTTCCATGAGCTTCTCTCACATTTATTTGCTTTCATATTCTTTTGAAATACTCTCAAGTTTCGAGATTTAATCTGCATTGCAGAAAATGCTGTGTTCAATTGGTCCTTTCAACTAATGTCATAGTCATACATGAACATAAGTGAAAGGAGAGTAAACTTTACACTTTTTAGTTCTCTGACTAATGCAATTTTAATGGAGAATTCATAGTGTGATAATAGATATGTAACTTGACTAAAAATACTTACATCTCAGATGTTAATTTTGAAAATGTCATGATGAACACCAAAGTTTGCACTCAGATTGGAAAACAGATTTTTGAATGAAGCTCTGATGACCTGACCAGTTGAGAATCAGTTAGAGAAGACCAGTTATTTCACAGTTTTCACATCTTCCTTTCCATCCAACATAAGCTATATAGAGGTGCTAACTGAAAAAAACTGAAATTATTTCCATCATAAATTGCAACACATCCAACTCCTGTAACCATAGTTTAAACTTGTTTGCTCTTAGGTGGCAATAGTCCTTCTTAAACTTCACCTATTATCTCTATATACAAGTTATATTAATTCTTAGCACATGTTAAGTCATGTTCAATACTTTTTCAGCATTTTCTTCCCCTGATGTCAAAAAAGCAGGTTACGAACTGATAATGTGTCTGTTAGAGCCTCTTATGTTTCTCGGAAATTTTAAAATACAGAAGTTGGACACTTTGAAGTGTTCCCCCACATCACAGCATCACAGGATAATTCAGGTTTGAAGGGACCTCTGGGAGTCCTCAGGTCCAGCCCCTCTCCAGGGTGCACACAAACAAGACCTGAACACTTACAAGGACGGGGATTCCACAGCTTCTCTGGGCACCTGTTCCAGCTTTGGAATATGCATATGGTGAAATTTTTTCTAATATGTAATATAAATTTCCTACGTTCTAATTAGTCACAGTTACTTTTTTGTCCCATTTCTGGGCTCATTTGAGAAGAGTCTGATTCCATCCATTCTCTCTCTGTCTTTCCATTAGATTATTGTAGGTAGAAACAGGGACACTTGTCCTCTCCCTGTGTGATCTGTGCTCTTGGTGATCTTCCCCTGGACTTCAATATGTCAGTACCTCACTTGTGCTGAGGAGCCCAAACCTTGACATAGTGCCCTAGAGATGATCTCACAAAGGCTGCGTTCGGGGGAATAATCACCTTCCACAACTACATTTTTATTAGTAAGGTGCAGGGTGCTGTTGGTCATCTTGGTCACAAGGACGCACTGCTGAATTGTGTTCACTTTAGTGTCAACCAGGACATCCAGTCTATTTCTGCAAAGCTATTTTGCATTAAGTTGACCTCCAGGCTGCGTTGCTGAATGGGTTTGTTCCATCTCAGCACTTTGCCCATGCCTTGGGTTGAACTTTGTGGGTTTCCCATCAGTCCATTTCTTCAGCCTGTTGCTGTCTAAAACAGCAGCCCTGTGTTCCAGTGGGTCAGCTATCCCTCCCCAGTTTGATTTTCTGTCTGAAAATTCATTGGTTGTGCATTCTGTCCCATTGTCAAGGTCATCAATAAGGATGCTAAACATTCCTGGTGCTGATATCACTCCCTGAGGGACACCTCTAGTGATTAGCTGTGAGGGGGTTTGTATGCTGGTCACAACCTGTTAGTCCCAGGTCCCTCAGGTCCCACTGTTTTTCTGATCACTTTTGTGGATCTGTCTGTCTAGCAGAGATTGTGTCAAGGACCTGGCTTTCTACAAGATATACAGTATCCAGCATCTGAAACACAGCTGGATATGCATGATTAGTGCCTAAAACACTGTAGTTTTTCAGCCCTTTAAAGAGTAAGGAACATACAGTTGTACATTCAATTTAATATACTATCGATTTTACACATCGTCTTTCAAACAGGCTTTGTCCAATGCTCTATTAATACTGCCTAACAAATAATGGCTTGCTAAGAAAACTCTTGAAAACTTCTAAAACCTTCTTTAAGTGGTAAGTCTCTTGAGCTTCACAACCATGTGAGCTGCAGGAACATCAAATCTCAATCCTATTGGATTTCCAGCTGGTCAGAATCTCTGGGTGCCTGTTCACCCACGAGAGGGCAGGATGACTCTGCTCTATTAAGAAGTGAAAGTCAATCTGCTCTCCAGAGTCCCTTGAGGTGCCAAAACCACAGAAGTGCAGAGTAGAAACCAAAGAACATTAAAACTCTTTGTGGACAATATAATTCAGCAACTAAATTGCCTTGGTGCTGTTTAATTTAAGCTGAAGGCATCCAAACTGAATCTTCTATAAGCTCTCTATGTTTATTCCTATGTTATTATTTCTATGTTTATTTATTCCTAT